AAGAGCGGTAAGGGGTGCAGCGAAGGTAGTGCGCGTAAAAGCGGCTCCTGCACGGGGGAACAGGACAGCAGAGAAGGTCGGCTTCTCTGGCGCTTTTCAGCACTTGGCGTTAGCCGGTGACTTTTTCAGGCAGCGATGTTGAAGTTTGCCGTGTCCCTTCAAGTTTCTTTTTGCTAATACAGAAGCTATGTATTTCTAAATTTTGGTCAGCATGTCTTTAACCTAGAGTCTCTATCGTTAATGTTTTATAAGCACTTTGAGAGATTTTGGCATGCTTCGTTTTACTTTTCCAGCATTGATTTATCTTTAGCTAGCAATGAATTTTGGTTGGCATTGATAAATCATTGGGCAACTCAGAAAAAGTTAAGAAAAAAAGGTGGATAAAACAGCAAGTGAAACCTTCAGGGTTAAGAGCTCGGTTACGGGAGCTCAAGGGATGCAACAAAATGAGAGTCTGATCTGGCACCTGGCTTTTGGCAGGTACAGACAGGTTGTCCTGATAGTCGTTCTTATTGTGGGACAAAGGGATTTCTCAGAGAGTACTAAACTTTTTGAGAGTTTGAACATGATAACCAACACTGTACATTTCTTATAGTTTGTGTGATGTGTAAGAAGACTTCTCTGAATGTGCATTAGTATCTTAGGTGATTCTGTAAAAAATGAACCTCACGTACTCCTTCAAATTCTTTTCCAATAAGGAGAGGCACTTACGGGGCTGAGAGAGCTGCCAAAGGGTTTTGGATGCTCAGCATTACCATTTGCAGTTCAATTTACTTTGGCTATACGATAACTGTGGAGATAATCATTCCGTGTAAAATAGCCATGCATGAAAGGAATACACTCGGGGGGGTGTGTGTAATTACTTTATTAAGCAAAAGTAGTGATCCGGATCAGTGTTTTTATTCCTTTTGACCTGTTCTTCGGCAATTTGACTGTTCCCTGAACTGTTTTAAAGCCGTGCACAGTCTGTGTGCGGTGTCACGAGAAACCCTGAGGCACTGTTGGTTTTCGGAAGGAGGGAGAGGGATTATCTGTGGTTCTTTTTTATGAAAGTTGTTTTCACAGCATTGCTAATCTGCCTGATGAAATATTTGACAAAGTGTTGTCCCTCTCTTCCTCCCCTCTGAGAAAGGTTAAATGGAAATTTAGATTAACCGGGGAACAACTTTATTGGCCATATGACAAAGCAAAGCATCTTGTTGCTGAGGTTAGTAACTGTAGTTTGGAGCAGCAGAGAGTGGACTGAAACTTTTGCAAGCAGATGATTTTATGTAGTCCTCAAAAACATGGAAAAAAGGGGAATGGAAAGGCTGTAGGTGAGAACTGAAGGGTGAAAGATGAACAGTGCGAGAGGAGGAAGTCTTTGCTGAAGGGGGAAGCAAGGTCCGTGGTCGGAAGTCCTCACTGTGCAGGAGAAATGATGCCCGCTGCTGAAGCGCTTCTAGCGCAGGAAATTGTAATAAAGTGACTCAGGTAATTTTTAATTGCGGCAAAGATCATCCTTAAAGTTAACAAAAGTAAAAGACACCAGCAGCTGTTGGGAGGCTGTATGTGACCCTGTCAGCGGGCACCGAAGACGGCTTTGATCTATACTAGGAGTACCCTCGCAGAGTTGAAGTTCATATGTAGTGATTCAAAAGAGTGAAGATGAGGGACCCAGCTACAGTGTACATGAAAAATTTATGCCTGCGATCTCATTGTCTCCACAGGGAGAAGAATTAAAATGAACACAAAGCATGTTTAAATACCGAGTAAAATGTACCGTCACCTCCTTTCAGTCTTCAAGCTACTCAGGGCTCAGAGCAATGTTGCTTGCCATTGGAAATCTTGGTATTATCTTTTATTAAATAGCATGAAATTCTGAGGAAACTTTTAACTTGTTCGGGTTTGAACATTTACCTGGCTTTAGACTTAAGCCAATGACTTTTTGAGGGGCAGGAGTAAAATGTGAGTTTCGTGGACAAAAAAGAGAAAGAGCATTGTTTGGAACGTTGATGTGAGCAAACAAGTTTTTTTGGAGCTTCTCAGTGGTTTGGAATGTTTCATGACCTCGAGGAGAGGGATTTGTGGGCGGCAGGCAGCCCAGCTGGGCGCGGGGATGGGATAGAGGTGGCCGGGGCATGGCTTTGCCGGCCAGCCACCGCACATCTTGTGTTGTTCAATGCCCGTTTCTCAGGGCAGTATGATTTTATTACCGGGGCAAGCTATGCAAATGATGTCAAAATGTAAAACGTATGTATGCATGTAGGCATGAGCTAACAAAAAGTCTTGGAGTGGGCCATGGGAGTTGAAGTTTTGAAAAGAGAAGAAAGTCCAGTGAAACAGATCCCAGTCACACAGATACATGTGTCTGAGTGAGGACAGTTAATTAAAAAAAAAGTATCCTCTAACACGAAGTGGAAGGTCAGTAACGTGTTTGTTTGTAATCATGCTGGTATTGCATTCTATGTTTTTTTTTTTTTCCCAAAGGCAAGTACATATATAAAGATGTGTTCAGATGAGAAACATTTGTTTACAAGTGTGCACATGATAAAAGTTCCACCGAGCTGCAGAACTGAAGGGCTCTTCAACCCCGGGAGTGTGCCCACTAATCGTAGGTCAGTAAAGCCCCCCTGAGTATCACTAATCCCGATTCTGCAAAAACTCACCTTATGTGGCTGTGGAAGCTATTTTATTTATTTTCCAAGTTAATCCAGCTCAGGGCTCGAGTGGCAATAGCATATCCTCTTAAGTGTAGGCATGCAAGCTCAATGTGGACAGCTGTTTTAACATTCCTGGCTGGAAGTCCTGCTCTCAAAAAACATATTTGATGCTTATACATAGTCTCTTGGCTGCCTACACTTAAGTCCATCTGTCAGGGTGGCACAGCGCCAGTTTACAAGGTGGTATGTCGTTTTCAGTAGGACAAAGGTGCCAAGCCGGGATGGGTATTTGGGCCGCCTGCATAGCAATGTGCGAGCTCACTCTTCTGCGGGATGTTTCTTCCTTGTGAAGGCAGTGCCACCTCCGGGTCCTCCTGCCCCTTAAACCTGGCGGTGCTTTGATGCCCTGATGCTAACTTTGAGAAAATGTATGACATCAGGCTTGGAAACAAGTCGCTATTATAACAGGTGCCTAGGAAATACAAGAACTGGCTCCCTTAATCACAGATAATCCAAAATGGAAGTTGCGCACTTTCTGTAAAAACTGGGCAATCACTAAGTTGTCTTTGTCTGCTTCTAAAGTCCCTCTGGTCTGTGCTTGGCTGTAGTGTGGCATGTCTGTCATCAGCTGCCCAATGTGTGCAGGTTCCCCTTTTAGTTAATTAATTGACTTAATTGCAATTTAAGTTGGAGTCAAATTGGATTTCATGAGTCTCATTTTGTACTGTTTGAACTGGTGTTTCTGCTGCTCGTCAAATTCTAGCACTTAAACACAGTGCATTTTTTCTGGGTTGTCTTTTGTTTTTTTTTTTTTTTTGGTAGGGATCCAATAGTTTGCCTTGAATGTGAATTCACCTTGTGATTGTATCATGAATTTTAAAAGCAGTTCCTTACAACTAACTGTGGCACTTGTAAATGAAAGTTTTATTAGTGGCATTACAGTGCTTGAATAATTTTTAAATATTTTGCTTCTTTTGCAAATGGGTGTTATAATAAAAAAGGAATTTACTTTGAAAATACATGCATAGGAAGACAATGTTAGGTTTTACTGAAATATTGCATTAATGAAAATATATGAGCATTCAGTACCCCTAAAAATGACTAGTGGATGAATTAGTAATTGTGCTAAGAATATTTTCGTTCAGTTTCCAGAATGCTGTAGACTGGTTAGGATGTGATATGAGAAAAGGGTCTAAGCCATTTAATTTCATGCAGAGTCTCCATAGTTTTGGGAATAAACTGTAATTACAAAATGCAAAGATAAAGCTTTTATGACATAAGAGCTGAAAAATTGGATAAACCTGTGTAAATGGGGTTTGTACAGATAATGGCTTGAGAGCCAGGGAAGAAAATCCTTTCCTAACCTGGAAAAAGAATAAATATTTAGACTAGTTTGAAAAATGTTTTGGACTCTGGCTTTGTTTTCATGAGGATCATTTGTGGGTTGCTGTTTCTAGCATTAGGTAAACCATTTCACTGTGACAATACTCTACTTGGAAATCACCTTCTTACCAGTGTTTCACAGCTGGATGCTCTGTGTACCCCTCAGGTCTTTTACAGACTTCCACAAAACCTGTATATAAGTATGTATGTTGATTGTATTTACTGTATTTCTAGTTAAATTTACCCCTATGTCTGTTTCCCACCTGGAAGGAGAGGGCAGAAGGAGTAGTTTCACATACTCTATCAGAAACCCACCACTTCTGCCTGCTGTGTCCTGGGGCAGAGTGCAGCTGCTGGGTGAGTTGGGTCTCCATAATGCACTGTTGCCTGGATGTTGGCATGGGAAGCGCTGGATTTTCATGCTGCTGCATTTGATTTGTCTTGGTCTGGCCACTTCTGGGGTTATGGATGCCACTGGAGGACAGGGCACTGAGGGCATTGGGTCCTCTGTATGGATGCTGCAAGATCACTGAGGTTTTCCAAGGCAGGATCAACTTTCTGGCTGAACTGGAGAGACCGTCTGGAAGCATTGAAACGTCTGACCAGCATTTCATTTTATTGTCATCATTTAGTCTATGATCACTTGTGGTTTACATTGAATGTGCCTCCTGCTACCCGATATCTGAGAAGGCTAGTTTCCTACAGGGTTTTTCTCAGCATTGGTCCCTATAGTTGGTAA